TGATAGATAGATGATAGATGATAGATAGATAGATAGATAGATAGATAGATAGATAGATAGATAGATAGATAGATAGATAGATAGATAGATGATAGATAGATGATAGATAGATAGATAGATAGATAGATAGATAGATGATAGATAGATAGATAGATAGATAGATAGATAGATAGATGATAGATGATAGATGATAGATAGATAGATATAGATAGATAGATAGATGATAGATAGATAGATAGATGATACAGTGATAGATGGGTAGATAGGAAAACCCTCTTTCTCATGAGCAATTTTTCATTTTTCCAGGCTTTATTAAACTCCTCTTTGTAGTTTCAAGACGGGTTTCAGTGGGAAGAGGGGGGACACAGTTAACCACTTTTCAAAGCTTATTCTATTAATATTTGACAATTAACGTTTGGAGAAAAGTTAATATAATAACTGCAGTTTCTAAATGAACAAGTTAGACCTCTGCCTAACAGAGCTATCAAAACCTGCTATATTACAAGTCTACAGTACATTCTTTTCTGATATATTTATCCATGAAAATACATGAAATACATGAAAAAGAAGTTTTTTTCAGGGGTATTTTATGGACTATAGAGGGACCAAATGACAGGCAAGAGCCATTCCTGTACTTTTAGCCACTACCATTTCTTGTAACCCTCTTTTTGTAGTCATGAGAATAAAATCTAACCAACACAAATGGCTGTAATTAGAGAGGAGTTTCACCGTCCATCTATCACCCACCTTATTTGTACATGACGTGTTTTATTCAGTGTGTATGGTGAATATTAGCCTTAAAAACCATATTAATGTAACACCATAATTTCCACTTAATTCTAAATCACTAAGTCCTACAAATATGGGGCAATACCAATAAACTTCACTTCTTTTCAAGGTTTATGTAACTAAAGTCATGTTACAAGTTCAAGATCATGAAAATAACATAACAAAGGAATTATCGAAATATTCAGCAGAAAAAGTGTCTACGTTATTTTTATGTTGATATCAGATCTTCCACAAAGATGCTATCCTACAAATCCTGCAGTTAGGAATGACATATTGACTACTTCACCTCTGTTTTGCCTAAGACTTCTAACCGATGACACAGAATATAGCAGAGTGAACCTGGAAGTGCAGAAATCAATGGGTTAATGGTAGGTGAAAATTCACATTCTGCAAATTATATGACTATCATGCTTCTCTTCCTTTTTTTTCTGGCCTCCATTTTCCGGACAAACTCGAGAAGAATGCATCCTTCTGTGAAAGGCCAATCTCTTTCACGCCGGTCCCCCAGGAGAATGGCATGCAGATATCAGGGGTCCTGCGTTTCAAAACACTCTAACTCATTTTCTTATTCTTAGGAATTTTTTTTGTTGCCATGAAGTTGGATTATGTGTTTTTGAGATGTTTTTTGGGCAGCTAAGAAATGATGATGGACCTAATTAGTAAAGTTTGGCCCCTACAGAACCAGGTAACAGTGGCAGCCTCCTGTCATGAAAAACACACTCAAAAAGGAGCCAGGAAATGAGAGAAAGCTCTCCTGCCACGTACTATCTGGGCATACAAGAAGAAGATAAGGACATCCTAGTACATGGCATATTACAGACACTTAAATACTCATTAAATCTGAATTTGCTGCATGGCCCAGATTTTTCAGTTTTTGGTGTTAAACCTTAAGGGCTAAGAATGGAAAGAAAAAATTAAATCAAGAAGACGTAAAAGAACAGCAGTTCATGGTCTTGGCCATTTTTCAGTTTTGGTGCTCATGAAAGACCTTTGTGTTTCTTCTGTTGGGAGTGAAATCAACCTTAAATATTATTGGCTAAGATGCCCATTAGCAGTTCATAAGCATGAAACCAGTCCTCTCTTACCTCAGATAATAGCTCTTGGAATGGTCAGTGGACACAAAGATTCAGCAAACTGCAATGCTGGTGTCTGAAAATGAAAGATTAGGTAAAAGTTACTCCTAGGTACTAAACTATATTATTTATAAATAATCATAAACTCTTATATCTACAGAACGGTTTCTTGTTTTGCAAAACATTTTCACATTCATTATTTCATTTCACCCAACACCAACCTGATGAAGAAGAGCAAAGAGATTATTCTACTGACTTCATAGGTGAGGAAACAGAAGCTCACAGAGGGATAGAGAGGATGGGAAGGGACAAACATCTCTCTCAGTTAACTTCACAAATACCATGTGAAAAGGGTGTTACTGTTCTCATTTTACAGATGTGGAAACTGAGTTCAGAAAAAGTAGGTAACTTGCCAAGACTACATAGTATGGTACGCAACAGGGTGTGAGTTTGAACCCTGTGGTCTAGTGGTCTTTTTCCTTTATCCCTCAGTTTCTTCTGAGGTATTATGTTGGAAAAACACAGACAAACAGCTCACTGACTTGATCCACTAGGCTTGGTGGAAGGGGGAATAATAAAATAAAACTAGCTATCTGATATACATGAGGAAGTAGGACACACACACAAGGGACTTAGAGCTAGTCAAACTTGTTTCCCTCTTACCAATGGCCTTAGGCAAGTTACTTAAACCACCTGAGTGTCACCTTCTTTATATGTAAATGAAGATTGTAATATCTACTTCATAGCCAAGCTCACTTAAAGGTTATTTGGAAGATTTTCCTCCATTGTTTCATACCGATAGATATGGACAGTGGTGGTACTCACAACTATAATGTTTCTTCCTATGAGCCTATGTGTTTATGATCAAAGAACGATATCATAAGCACACAATGCTAGAAAATGTCTCTGGATGGGGTATTTTGTGCCCCTCATTTTAAAATACCACAACATCTGTCTATGGCAATCTCACATGGCCTCAGCTAATAAGAGCCCAAAGAACTTTTGTTTCAAAAGGCTAAGCCTCAAATTAAAAATCAAGCGACTCCTTAACCCCAAAAAGCAAGAGATACTACTTGGAGTAAAAGACTGCAGGTGTATTTCATGTCCTTTTACAGTTTGTGTTTATAATGTGCCTCAGGTCCAGAGAGATGGTGCTTCCAACAGGATGGCAATGAAAATATTTGTTTTAATGTAACGCATAGATTTACTGACAAGGATAAGACCTCTGGGAAGTTTTTGTAATATATCCTATTTTCATATAGGACTCAAGTCAGATGAAGAATAGAACATGGTTGATACGTGAACTACAAGAAATTCTTGCTATATGCCACCAAAATCAAAACATTAATCATCTTTTAACATTAAACTTTGTATTATGAAAAATATTGCATGACTGTTTTATTTCAAATCATCCTCATTATAATCCCAAAGAGACTTACTTACCCCAATTTTAACAATAAGGAATTCAGAGTTCAAAGATTACATGGTTAAAGTGAAACAGATAAAAACGTAACCTTGTACATCATACACCAAAACGATCTAAGGACCCTCCCACTCATGGTGCAGCCTCCCACTTGGGAGTGCTCTACTTGGAGGGAAAGGGAAAATTAGTATATACCACAGAGAGCTCAACTGTCAAGGCACCAACACACATTTAGTATTGAGTCCCTGCTTCACTGGCAAGTGAAAGGAGAGAGAGAAGACTTCACATCTGTGGTCTAACCAGAAGGTAACACATTACTAAGCTGATGCAGAAGGAGGGTTTGATGCAGGGTTACCATGAACACTTTCTCAGCTCTCCCCAGTGAGGTTTCAAAGATGCAACATCCTTGTGCAAGTTCGCAAAGCACAAGCCACAGAAACAACAGAAATTGATACCATTAGATTTTCGTGAAGAGGCCTTCATCAGTAAGTCTCATCTTAAGCAGTAGAAAAGCTGAAGCCTTCCAGCTAAGAAGTTCACCAGCCCTCTTCACATGATTCTAGTGTCATTGTGTCCTCAGTAACTACTGAGTGTTTCCTAATGCAATGGAGATCTCCACTAGACCCAGAAAGACATCTGGGACAACTCACAAATCCCACTCCAGTATCTTGGTAATGAAGCCAGTATCCTTGGCTGCCTCTGTGTATTTTGTGACTGCTGAACCAGAACCTGGCATGTCTGCATCCTTTGTTAAACCACTCATCCTCTCCAAAGAAAAAGGTTCTCATCTCCAGAAGCAATTTCAACCAAAAAAAAAAAACCAAACCAAAACAAAACAAAAAAACCTGTGCAATCAACCTCTAACTTACAAAACTCCCACCTATTAATTAGAATATATGTAAAAGCAAGACTCACCATACTTAGTTGGGGCTAATATAGAATAATTGAGCATTTCTACTACATTTTGGGGAACACAGGAGGAAACAAATGAAAGCAGGAAATAAAAATGAGAGTGGAAAGAAAAACGATGGAGAATTAAAAAAAAATAGAATGTGAGAAATGAAAAGCACAGAAAGACATGTTTCAACAGGTTTTACACACACCATGCTACTTCTTGAATAGTCCACTGTACTCTAAGATAATTTTTAAGCAATAGTACTCTAAGATGATGATTATAACATTATGAACTAAAATTCCAACCAATTGGCATTAGATTGCTGACACCGATGTATAAATGCCTCTGAATGCTTTATATCTTATGAGTGCTATTATACCAATGTGAAATATGATAGACACTGTTAATACTCCCACTAATCCCATAAATGGATAGCTCCTCAGCCCTGTGGTCCTGAATGTGCTTTCTGAATAGGAGGTATTACCTTGAAAACAATACTTGCAGCATGTGGATTGAGGACCTGGGTTCTGCCCTTCGCCCTATAATTCCCAAATATTTTTAATTAAAGTTTGCATTAAACATACATTTTTCTGTTTCCCTTTTCATAGGTCTTGACCATGGTTATCCCTAAACCACTGTGAAAAGGCCAGAACTTATTCTGTCTAGGCTTTGTGCATTTTGGTAAGTTTTACGTGGTAGTGAAGGTGTTGGTAAAAGGATTACTTACACTAAGATTTGTTTAAATTAAACAATGTCATAATCTTAAGCATGATTATTCAACATCTGTCCCCAAATGCAATTGAAATGTTAGATTAGGACAGAGGCATGAGGTGACAAACGGAATGTCCTCCACTGCCATCATCAAACCCTCTATGAAGAACATTTTTACATGCACCCTCTCACCTGCCACCCTAAGATACTTATCATGAATACAACATATTCCATGGCTTATGAATGATTTGGTTGTCTCATTAAGGTAATGTTTGCCAGTATTTAATTGCTTCCCTTCCTGATTTTAATTTCCTCACCTGTCAGCATCTATCAGAGGCACTGAGATCTTCTGACATGCTCACTGATTGTGTTGAAATTAATCAGATTTTTGAAAAGTAAATTGCTTTGGTCTAAAGGTAATGTTCACCTTCTTCGTGTGATATTTATAAGGATTCTATCAAAAGAACTTATAATCTAGAAATTAAATAATAGGTTTTAGGAATCCTAAGCAAAAATATGAGTAGTACCTTAAAAAAAAAAAAAAAATCAACAAGTGCTTATTGAATATACAGCACTTGCCAGCAGTCACTTTGGGGTAAACAGAAGAGAGTAAACATGAAACTACCTCAGAAAGTTTGGATGCCCGGCTGTTGTGGCTCAGTTGGTTGAGCATCGACCCATGAACAGGAGGTCACAGTTCAATTCCGATCAGGGCACAAGCCCGGGTTTCCGGCTCAATCCCCAATAGGGGGCATGCAAGAGGCAGCTAACTGATGATTCTCTCTCATCCTTGATGCTTCTATCTCTCTCTCTCTCTTTCTGAAATCAATAAAAAATAAATTTAAAAAAATAAAGTTTGGAGAAACAGGTAAAAAAATAATTAATTAAGGTGAATACACCTTGATTGAGTAGCAGACAATCTAATCACTCAAAAGGTACATTGTGTATTTACAACTGTGACTAGTTATACACATTTTGCTCTCATACAGATTAATGATTTTACTCCCCACCTCAATCCAGTAAGGTAAAATTGGTGTTATTGTTAGTAATAGTAGCAATCTTCCCATTTGACAAGTGACAAAGCTGACATAAAGAATGGTAAAAAGACTCTTTCCTAGATTCCTGCTTTGGGGATGTAAATAAATTCAGAAAACATAGCATGATTACTTTGGAATAAAGAAAGAAAAATTATTTTCAAATCCTCTATACATAATTATTCAGTGCTAATTCTTGTGCTAATATCTATCGGTAAATGTGCTTAAAACACTCAGGAAACCAAGCACTAAGCTATGCTATAAGAAGTAAATGAAATAACGGATAAAAAAACTTTGAAATGTGTCCTACCATCATGAGATTATGTTTATGTACGTAGGTTATAATTCCTACTTTGGAATACGGATATATGCATTCATGCAGTAATTATGTCTCAAAAGCGAGCCTATAATATCATCACACCTATCTTTCAGTTATTCTGTTAATCTATGGCCCCTAAACTAAACAGAAAAATAAAAAATGTTGCATGCATGGAACTGCAGGGTGGGGATCAGGGGGTCAGGGGTAACACATGGAACTTTGGAACACAGAGGTTGGTTTTCACAAAAATGACTTTATAACCAAACATAACCAAACTCAGTATGGGAGTATGGGTCTTATTTTTCTAGTGGACTCTAAGACCCTACTTAACCTTCAAGCATCTCTCCTGCTGCGAAGGTTTTCCTGATCCAGAAAGGTTTGGTGAAGCAGCCTTTTTGAAAACTACCACAATGCCTGGTTCCATATCTAGATCACTAAAATTACCACTGTATCTTATCATTTTTGTTTGTTTGTATATGTTGAAGAGAGAAATCTTATCTAACTCAGTTTCTTAAATCCAAACCCCAAATCCAGAATATGGTCATTAGTAGGTGCTCAAGAAAACGTTTATTGAATGAATACATGAACAAAGGTAAAAATCGTTCTGTGTAATTTCTGCAGCATCTAGATCAATGTGATGGCAGTGAAAAAATAAAAACGGCACCAGGTGTTAGATGAATGGAGCCAGACCAGA